TCTCGAAGTTGTGCAAGTACGAAACACGACCGATGTTTTTTCAGGTTTTTGAGGTTTCCAGAAAACTAGCCATACATATCTCCTAAAAGGTCAAGTTTGTGATCCGCAAAGAGAATGACTGTTGCGTTTTCGGTACGGCCGTCAGAGTCCTACGCACTAAACCCCTTCTTGCTACCATTTCCATATAAGAAGTGGTCTTGAGTCAAAGGGCTGGAGGATAGGGTTACATGGACAGGGACCCTATTCAGTCCTCGAAGACTGAGTTCGTGGTATGTGTGCACTCCTTTCTGGCCATGGGTAAAAACCGCGCCTGGCAAGAAGTGGTTACTTAAGTGTTGTGAATGTTTTCCAATGATTTGCGATGCCCTTACAAATTCAAATGTATTTTATAAAAAAGATCATAAAACTAATTCTTTATATTTATTTGATAGCAGATTACGTCTTTAAATTTTGTGCTTGAAAAAGGTATCTCTCGGTTTCTAAAAGCCTATTCTATTCCCTAGTAATTTTTAACCCGACCTGCCAAACTAACAGCCGTTTACCCTATGTGTAAAGAAAATCTTACATTCCTCAATGCCATCAAGAAGATACAATATAGGAATTATAAAATTTTGCAATGGGTGGAGATCGTGTTGTATACTTCACAAACCACATAAATAACGGACAGATACGATGCTTTTTGAGTAGACATTTCACGGCCTTAAAAACCCCATAAGTAGAAATTTCTCTAAACCCGAAAGACACCTTTTTTCGAGCATAACATCTGAAGAAGACGTAATTTCCTACCAGATAAGCACTAGAAAGAATATGTTTGTGCATGCTTTCCGTACAGTACATTTGAATTTACAAGTACATCGAAGACCATTCAGAAAATTCATACTACTTAAAAGATATATTTTGCAGAGGGTAGTTTTGCAGGTGGCCGGAAAGAAGCCCGTCCATGAGATGGCACGTCTACTGCAAATCTAGGAAACCAGATGTAAAACTCCCCCATTTAAATAGGTCACGAACCATTTTGGCCAGCTCTATGACTTGCAAGCATAGTCACTTTTTGTAAGGTGCTGCTGGCGAGTTTGAGTTTATTTTCTTAACTAAATACGTGCCTTTAGGGAATACGCCCCCAAAAGCAAAAATTCCTTAATTGCACGAACCAAAGCAAACACGTATAGCCATTTAATGCCCGTTAGAGGACGCGAAAAATCTGTTCGATTTTTTTATAATTTGGGCCTGAACAAACTCTGGAATCCTCGCCTTAACTGTTCATAATCATGATCTGAGCTCACCTGGCCATTGAGACTGGCAGCTGGTTAAAAACCTAATCTGTCTGACTAGGCGTTGAGGGTCAACAACCCGAGGGGGGGCAACTGGGTTACATTAAGTCCGAAATGAACGAGCGGAAGGGAAAAAGGAATAGTTACTCAGGTTACCCTTTTCAGCTACGAGACAAGTCATAATTGCTACAGTGATGAACTACGATGATCAACTTTGTCGTGGGAGTGCAGCTATGTAATTTCAATGGAAACTTCTTGTAAAGCGGAAAAGTAGAAATATGAATTACGTCCATAAGAATATATATAAAGCTCATGCAGTTTTTCAACGAATATGGACTACGTTGTTTAATCAACAGACGGATACGATGGCATTTGAGTAAGTAATTTATATTCTTAAAAAGTCTCATAATTACCAACTTTTAAGACCGAAGGTCAAACTTTCTGCGAATAAAGTATTCAAGGAAACTATGATTTGCTGCCATATGAGTATAGAAAAGGTTGCTTTGTGTCTGTTTTCTATGGACATATAAAATAAATGGAAGGATCACGCTACTTAAATACTCATTTTTTATTGAGTTTGGTTTCTCCGGTCGACCGGAGAGAGGCGCACTCAAAAGTCAGCATCCTGCCACGACTGAAAAAAGTGTTGAATTATGCTGCATGGTAATCGCTATTACAACTCCGCCTAAGTAATCCTTTCTAATTGAAAATATATTTCAGAAATTTTATTGAAATTTCATGCGATACGCAACCTATTGCACGACCTACTGACAGCAGATCAATAAACTTGGAAGAATGCGCTTTCCGCGGTGATTTTGAGGGCTAACGGATTTATATTTTTGGTTGGATAATTGCAGCAGTATTCGGGGAAGTCTTGTTAGATTAATTAGCCTACTGTGTCCACATTTCATGCCATCTTTTGCCCTTCAGATCGCAACGGGAAAATTCCTGAGCAACGAAACCACAACTTGAATAATCTTCCAAATGTGAGTATGCCATATTTAGCTTGAAAACTCTGGGTGCTTTTCAAGATGAACTTCCATATGAGTGTTATCAGTCGCTAAACACCGCACCATGCTTTGCCTCTTCATCGAAGCCTGGACACTTTCCGCTGGAAAAACAGTAACCGCAATAATCTCCTAGTAGTCCGCGAAGAAGCCATAGAAAAGAACACACCTCTGAACTACCAACGGCTCATTGTAACTCATTTCTCCCCGCTTCCACAAAATGCGACTTGAGACGGTCTTCGCATCGCAGGGTCGCACCATCAGTAAGCGAAACATTTCACAAAACAATGTCCGCTCCTCCCCCTCCTCCCCCCTCCGTGTGTTGGCACGTCGCCCCCTTGCGGCATTCACTATGCAGACGCCAATTCCTGGCTGTCCAGATAAGAGCGCCATCCTTGTAAACATGTGCTCATCTCTTCCCTCTAATTCACCTCGTCAACCACAAACCCTGCCCTTTCAAATTACATGATGTCAAATGGGTGTGCATATGCCCAACTTTTTTTCTGAAGATAAAAGACTAAAGTTGTGTAGTACTCTGAGTGTGTGCGTGGGTGACATCCTGGACTATTTCTCCACCACCCCCACCCCCACCCTCGCCACCCCTTGGGCACTGATGAAGATGCAAAAAGCGTTGCGAGTCGACAACACGACTAGCGACTCCTTTGCACGTATGGGATGAGAAAACGCCTGGAAGGGTCTTTGTGCGCGTGCATATGTGTGTGGCAGACGTTAGACAACAACTTCGTGCTATATCAACCACTGCAACCAATTTCACTTCCAGCCAGAGTAACTCGACAGGGAAGAGAGAGAGAGGGGGCGCAGTCGATCCATCTCGGGTCCAGCACTTAGTTCCCCACCAAGAACAGCTGTGCGCGCCTCAAACTAGTATGACAAACTAAACACTGTAGTCTGGAGCGCTGCTAACTCATCCTTACTAGGGGCTAAGCATTAGGCTCCTTCGTAATGTGACCTTTATGGCAGTTCCAGTTATGTGAGATATGAGGTCCCGGATGAGGCCCAGCACATGTGAAATTGGGGACCAGGTCGTACGTAGCGCGCGTAAATGGGCTGTTTGAACTTGTCAGCCACGAAGTCTCCGGTTGTCTTGACGTTGCTCCTTCTATCAGATCACTTTGAACGTGGATGAAATGAACGAGGTAAATCCGGTGAAAGTCTGTTTAGCCGAAAACAAGTTCCCACGTCATCCACGATCACGCCCACCTCTTAAGACAGAAGTGAACCCCTTCATCTGTGATGACCAAACTATCGTACGTGCCTGGACTGCTGAAAAAAGTGATGGGCTTCAAAGGGTCGCTGAACAATAATCGTCAAGTGTGGCCGCAGCGCTAGCCCAGCTATCGCGTGGTCACCGGATTTTGACAGGTGCAACCGCACCGTGACGGGTTCAGGCCAGACGACAGAGGGACGGAAAGAAAGGCGCTAACGTCAGGCCCCTTCCGGTCAGCCGTCAAGAGTCCATGTGCTTCTGTGTCTGTTTCATACTCACAATGCCACCCACCCTGCAATCTTGTAGTTATCGTCACCATCCTAGCGGGGTGGTCGACTCTTCGCAAAGATTGCTTCCTCGTCTCTCGAACAAGGCGGTCCATAACGGCCAGAGCCCACACCAGCGGGCGAACTAGGCCACGCGCAACACTGAGGGTGGTGCGGGATGTGTGACTGACCGTGGCGCCAGCCTCGCCGCCACACACACACACACACAGAGACAAACCACAAACAGCCCACGTTGGGTCGCCTTTTGCGTCCCATTCACAGAAAACACGCACACATACCCTCATCCCCACATCATTGGGAGGGGGAACATCAAAGG